CAATGATTAATAATATCTATTTAAATATTAACAATGTAAGTATTGATCTAAAGACAAAGGAATGTATGATTGTGCCAGTGTTTGAAGACAAACCGTTTAGATATCGATGCGGTTTGACCGAGCGCGAGCGCGAGTACCTCGTATAAATGCAAATCAGCCGATTGTACTCTTGCCTTGATTAATTTAAAACATTTACCAGTACCCTCTTAGCCTTGGCGGCTGCTTTTTAGTTTTACTGAAGCTGCTATTTATTTAAGCAGCGATAGCGAAATATATTTTTGCAAATAATAACGTCTACGCCTTTCAATATTTGATGGCGACACAAACGTTGCCTTTTGACTTCTTTGTCACACCATTCATGCAATATTTATCGTTAGTGTAACAAAGAAATTCCATTTTGGGGCAAATGCGCAAATAGTTCGACGTTTGAATTTCCCTTGTGTAAATGTTATTACAGTACGTTCCGTTAGTGTGTTGCAGGTGAAACATTCCGCAATAACAGGCAAGTCGGTGCCTTGACAAAGTGGGATTGCCATATAATGCCGGGTCCCGGAGAGGAAGCGCCGCGCGCCGCGCACCGCCTTGTCTTCACAATACATTTGCATAAGCGAAAGATGGTAAATCGTTGATCGGTATGACTGCAATTCCACTTGAAAGCAAAAATCTCAAAACAACACCAAGTTAATTTTGTTCAGAAATGTAATTATGTTTTAATGTGCTTCAGGCTTACCCACGTTCGTTTCAGTCACCTGAGCAGGCAAGAATTTTTCGAAAACAAAATTAACTAAGTTACTCGGCTAAGTAAGACTGATAGATATTTGTGCTGGAGTGAGCGGGGAAGTACTGTGATTGACATATTATTAATGATGCTTTATAATTTGTTTTCTTAAAATATTTGTTGGTAGATAGGGCGGTTTTTTTTGTAAAAATGACCAGACATTTTTGCATATTAAATATGCAGAAAATTTGTATTTCAATCATGTGTAATTTAAATACCTGTGAGGTGAAGAATCGTCGCATTAATATACTTATACGGCTTATACGGCTCTATTAACTTATACGGCTCTAGAAACTTTAGCTTAATATGTAGAAAATGGTTCTGAAAGGAGCTAACAGGGAGATAACGAGAAAAAATAATCCGTGTGTCGTTTCCTCTTCATTCCTGCTCGAGCCGTGAGATTATCACGCACCCCGTGATTATGATTAAGCGACACCAGCCGTGGAAAAAGTGGCAAGAATAAAATTAAAATTACATTTTGCGCGTCCTCATTATACTTTTATATCTCGCGAAAATATTCTACCTTTATTTGTGTTGTTACATGTATTACTGCAGCCACCCCATAAACATTAATTTACGCATTTCATTTCACATTTAAAAATCACTGTTTCTTTATTAACTCGTCGAGTACCGGTTTTATAGACACAATTAAAGAACAATAGGTCGCGGTCACCGGTGACCGCTTGGTGTTTGACAGATTAAAATGTTGATTTGCATTTCTTAACACATTTTAAAGCGCATCATCATTCAAAGTCAAAGTCAAAGTCAACGACCTGATCTAAAATAATAATCTATATGTGACTTAACAGGAGTGTATTTTTTACCTTGTATGTCGCTGTGGTCATTTTTAGAGGACGAATAGAGACAAAATATCGCTGGCATATTTTGTAGTTTTATATATGCACAGTGGGTACAGTTAGCATCGGGTATTACGTAAATACTGGTTGCAGACAGGTATCGCGGCCAGGTGGCTTTAACAGCCGTATTTATCATCCGCGTACCAACTCCCGAAATGTTCCTATTTGTCACAAATTTGATATTTATCTACTGTTTCTTGTATTGTAAACACTATGCTGTTTCTAATGTGTATGCTCTTTATTACTGTATGTTAAATTCTCATTGATTCAATTTCTTAGTTTGTAATCAGGTTATTGTTTCAAATTGTTATTTCCGTGTATTTAACAAAATAATTAGAAATAACGTAGATAAAAACGTGTGGACAACAATAAGCAATGTTATTAATTGTCAAAAATTGGAAATATATTATTGGTACCTACTTGGCATCTAAAATTAACCGAAGAAAATGTTTCAGTGTATCAAACACTTATGGTTTCTTATAAAATAACGACAGAGGGCGTTGTGTCCACAACTAGTGAGTATAAGGATCGTTTTGTTCGTCGAAGTTTTTATACTGTGTACGGCTGGTCACATAACGAGCACCTGCGGCCTCATCTACATAATGTGGACAAGTCGATGAACTCAGAGCTGGACACTTTCTGCTCCACCCGAAACTTGCCATCTCCTGCCAGATTCTTATTTCTAAACAATTTGTTCAAGATTCTTAAGGAACCTTGAAGAAACTGTTTGTCATTTGTGTGTCACTTAAATTGTTTTTTTGTTTCCCTTTTTTTTAAGTGGGAAAATCATCGAATGACTGCTCCCGCCTGGGTGAGGCGGGAGGGAGTGCCAGACTCTTACGGACTAAAAACCACCCCGTTCCTTCTCCTGCACGTTGAGCCGGAGCCCCGGTTACCCGTTAGGTTCTCCGCGTAAATGGTCTCTATGTGTATCTACTACAAGGTTGTAGCTCAAACACTATATAGGTAAATATTTTGAATAGCAACTCTAGTTCTTAAAATAAAATAAAAAATGCAATATAAATACAGAGAGCTATCTAACAGAACAAGAATAATCAACAAAAGGGTTATGATGCCAAGAAACTAAACTAGACACATAAAACTGAATATGAAAAGGATACAACGATCCCAAGTATTACAAATAGATATTATCTTTATTTATAATCCCAATAAAAAAGGAAGACGAAAACAAAAAACTGTGAAACATATGTGCATGTCGAGGGTAATGGGAGGTGATCTGATAAAACGGTAGGCCGTGATGCTGTAGGGAGCGCATTTAAAAGGTATCCGGAGAGTCGTAAAGAAACTTGTGCCCTTAGCGACAAATGAAACAACGGGCAAACTTGTAACATTCCACAACAAACGTAATAGTCGACTCGTTGGGGTTATGCTAACAAAATACGATTGGATTTCTTTAAAACTGTTTTACACAAAATTGTCTTTGACACTCCCCAAATGTTGTGTCGTATTTTATAGCGCGAAAGATTGGGTGAACAAACGAAAATCAAAACACGTGCAAATATTTGTACACGATTGTCTTTTGTTTATTGAGTCGTAACTAAAAAAAGTACCGTGAGATAAATGTAACAGTTGACAACTCTTTTACGTCATGCGTAGGATAAAGTAAACAAATAAAACACAGTGTGAACGAATGCGTTCTGGGGGGATGTCTTCCTTTCCGCCGTGAGTGTTGCGTTATTATTTGCACAGGATCCCATTTACATAGAAATAGGATCGACATACACATTAACACTGGGCACCTGTAATTACCTAATATATTATCGGGATCTTCACATTCATCGGATTACAGGAACATGGTCGTTGATTGGGTGTCGCAGTAATGTGTAGTTTGCACATTGGGCGGGACTACTAGTGTCACAGAACCGTTAATCAGTTAATTAATGCATCTTCATCATTACTCTATTTCTAACCACAGTCATGAATATTCTAAAAATGTAACAAATTTAAAACAGCACCGCCGCTGCAAGCTGGAGTTAGCTAATTACTCAAACAACTAAAGCTCCACAGTATTGAATCGAGGACGTGTAGCAAGTAAGCAAAATTCTAAAGATGCAATCCTAATGTTGCCCCTCGTTAACAGCGCGGGGAAAAAAGCGACAGAAACAAAACGTTGTCGTTGCGGTTTCAATTAGGGTGGTCGGCGGGCAGCTCTAATTACCGAGGACGCGGCGCGGTGCGGTGCGGCGTAGTGTGTGGCGCGACGGTGCTGCCATCGACTGCCACGCGGACCACGCGACTCGCCGCGATCCTATGCGGTACCACTCTAATCACTCGCTTGGGATTTTAACCCGAACAGATATTTCGGAATTAGCTCATTTATGATATTTCGAATTCTGCTCTATGATCTAGCAGATATGCGCTTTATAGCATTGCAGATATACGTGGGTTGTTTGTAGTTAAATCGATTCTTTCTATGTTAAGATATTACAAAGTCGTAATATCTACAAAAATCGATTATGGGGCTTTCAAACTAAACATCAGATCAATAAATCAATATTTTATTTAACAATTCCAAATGCGTATGTAACCTGATCTATACAATGGCAATTTTATTCAATGGCTAGGGTTATTTGTCTTAGATCCATTTACATTATGCGTTCCAATAGTCGTAACCACAAAAATCCCAGCGACAGGACGATTTGTATAAACACTTCTTGTTTGGTTAAGGTATGAACATAAGATAACTACACTCAAAGATAAAATTAGATATTGACACAACGAAAGTAAATTAAGCTTTATAATACAGATGCAACTAAAATACAGGAGACTCAGGACAGTGAGTGAGTTGAGTCGACTTTTGTTTTAGTCGCTAAAAGCAACTACATACATCCCAGTATTGTTCACAATGCATATCGTAAATGAACCCATTACCCTCTATTGTTATACTACAATTGTTTACGTAATGTACATTAATTATATCTTACTTGTATGACTTTTTAGTACTTCTATTATAAGGCGTAAGGCGCTAATCATAAGAGCTGGTAAAATGCATCCATTCTATTAATTACGTAATTGACTAAAAGTGCTATTAAAACTAGGCTTGATAAGTTATACTGCTTATATTTAAATACATCACATAAATGCTTTAAAAAATTGATTTATGATTTCATAAAATCCAATGTGCAAAATGTAAAAGATTTTTCTATTTACCAATTTCATTTTAAAATAGATAACATTTAACAATACTGTGTAGATTTAATATAACTAACTTTTGTTAGTAAAATATTTATGGAATATTTTTTTATAATTTCACCTACTAACCACTTAGTCTAGTTTGGCACTATGGTCTGTTTTGGCTATGAGGTGCATCACTATTTCACTTTACACTCGGCTATCTTCGGGCATCATCGGCAGAGTTCGGTGTCGTCATCGCGCGCGATGCATGGCGCGTCCGGAGCTGCCAGGAATAGTTTCCCCGTTGCACACGCACACAACTGGTATACTTTCATGCCTCTTATATTTTTATTAGGCTTTTCAGTCCTAATTGCTTCTTTTAAATTATTGATCACTATATTTTGAGCATTAAGTTTTATCTGAAACAATACGTATTTATTAAAATTATGAAAATATTTGTATTTAATAAATCTGTCGAATTGATCAAACTTACGTTACCGACGACAGAATCTAATTTGATGTTCCCATGTGAAGTTATTTGTATATTTCCAGCTCTGCTATCAATGAATATATTCTCTGGTGCCCTTAAGTCTAATCGTCTTGTCAGGGATTCCAGACTAAAAGACACAAAAGAGAGTATTATAGAAAATCAATTACGTGGTAGTTGACGTCAATACATAACAGTTGCACGTACTGTAAGTCAAAGGCCGGTGGTGCTCGTACTACAGGCACTTGGACAGCAGTCTTAATATTGACCCCGCCAGGTCCATCAACAGCTAGCGAATCAGAGAATATCCTCACTTCATCCCGCGACGCAGAGAACACGGGACTGCCTCGTGCATCGTTCACATGCAATGCGCGACCGCTGAACTCAAGGTTATCACGCTCTGAAAATCAGAAATAACATTTTGATTAAAGTGTTGACTCATGAATTTATTGCCGTAGCAAAGGCAAAATAAAACCGCTATGACGCCTACGAGAGTTTAGTTTCGTAGCGGACTACAGGATCCGGCTACGAATATTTTAGACCCTTTGGTAAATATCTCCTAAGAAGTATTCTATTCTATTATGTGAAACTCAGGTGTCCATGGGCGACGCCGATTACTTACCATCAGGTGATCCGTCTGCTCGCTTATCGGCCTATGCCATAAAAAAAACACTTACGCCTTTATCCTATATCGGTATGCAGGAACAACGAAGCACGACGACCAACGAACATGTAGTGCTATTAAAATTATGAAGAAATATGACATAAGGTTCGTACCTAGTATGCAGCGACTAATATACAATCCTTGTGTTATATTTCTTAAACATGACATTCATACATGTCAAACAGGTCATACAAGCATACCAGTTAAGTTAATTCATAAAACTAAATTTACGAATGTATAATACTTACTGATGAACAGCTTCGAATAATTCGGTTGGTCCGGCTCAGCAACCAGCACGGTAAAGTTACGATGTGAGTGGATAGAGATGGGTTGCCCCGTTTGTGAGGTGATGGTCGATGCCACCAAATTGTCTAGCACCCATGTCTGACCATCTACATGAATCCCACCTCTTACTATTCTTATGGGGCCAACACCATTCTGAAACAGATAATCGTTCGGTTATTTTGTATGATTTTCTTATGTACATACTTTATGGAATATATATATTATATATACCTATGTTCAGATGTTGTTTTTATTTCTTTGAAGGATTGTGAACAAATAAAAACTGAAGAGAAGTGTTAAAGTTCGGTTCTCCAGTAACGAAAAATTTTATCAATTAATTAGAAGTTTTATAATGTACACACTTAATCTATACATATAGATTACAGTTTCTACCATTGCATTATTGCCTGTCTTTAAATTTTTAATTTTTAAAACTTTTGTGCGATACTCACCATTGTCAGCTTTAAAGCACCGATAATCCACAACGTGAGACCAATATTAAGGAATATAAGTAGCATCAAGAAGATCAGAATGCTGTACAAGGTGGTTCTTCTCCAGCCCTTCGTGAAAGTTGAGGGCAGGCATCCTTTTGAGGAGTTGTTCTCAGAAGTGGCAGTTGCTTGTGGATGGTCACCAGTGGGAGTGCAACCCCACCCATGTATGACGTTCGTGCCAGTATCCTCTACACTCATGATTTTGTTCCTCGATCTTCTTTCTTACAACCTTCTTTTAGTCTGTAACAATATTTTTCGGAAGAATTAGTAACATGTGAGGGCCAAATCCTATATTTCCATATTGGTCTTATTTTATTTCCTGAATTGTACAAGGTTTTGATTTGTTTTAATTATTGGTTATTCGATATTTTTGTTCAAAATTTGGATTTGTATGTATTATAGTAAGCGGACAGGTATGCGCCTTTGTTCTAGAGGAGATTGGAAGTGCAAGATACAATAATAGTAAACATTTGTTTTGTAGTATAAAATTCTCTATTTGCGGCAAAAATCCGGGAATAGCAGTATTTATTGGAGATTTTATAGCTGTTTTAGTACAAACCACACCAGGAGACGTCTAAAATCGATATGTCATGTAGGACTTATGCAAGTGTTGGGCCCAGGGGCCCGGGATTGCCACCTGCACCCCGGCTTTGTTTTACGACAATGCTGAACTTGTAAAATAACATCAATAATTCCAAACTTCTGAGTAAAACTTGAAACCTTGCGGATTTTGGCCATTGTTTTCATTAACAAAGTTAATTAGGTTTGTGATGAATAATTATTGCTGCCAAATAAGGTTTCTCATTAATACTAACTAGACAATTATCTCTCACTAATCTCCAGATGCAGTTGCAATACCTATATTCATACATGTAAGTTTGTACATCGACTAAAGCTTACACAATCTATATGTACATCTTTGGTTGCGAAGTGAGTATGTGTGCCTGTATCATTTTGTTGCCTGTCCCATTTACAATACATTCTCTACAGCGTGATTTTTCAATTAGTTGGCTTGTAATTGAATGAAAAACAAGGTAGGAGCGAGACAAAAGTTGCAGATAAAGCGCACAGTACTAATGAACGGCGCACAACGAGCACCCACTAATGAGTATAACACTGGAGCTTTTCGAAAAACATCCATTAAGTAGGCCGAATGTTGTTATTAACTGTGCACTGAAATCTACACAGTTTATTTACTAGATTGTAAAGATGTTTGTTTAAGATGTCTTTAGAATTTTATGAGAAAAAGTTATAACAAAACCTAAGTAACGGGTTTCATAGGCCTTGGGTCTGGATTTATATTCTCGATTCGGGTAAAATATTGACAAATAACAACCTTTTCAAAACCATTTAGATGAGCCTGAAATTGTGGCTCGGTGTTTGACAACAGACTCACCTTCTCTTAGGTGGGATTCATAACAACTGGCGTAAAGTTGATATTGTTCCATGATGTGGTTCATATGTATTTTCTACCCCACCCTTTCCGTTAAATACGTGATATAGTGTATCTTTATACGTTTTAATATACTTACAACATGAGATATTTATTTAATGTAAGAGTAATACTACATTCTCATACAAAATAGAGTGCAAGTATCGAGTCAATTAAAGTGCTAGACATATTATGTAGGTATGTATGTATCGCGTATTTTTGTCGAGTTCTATGCTCTCTGGTTATATTAAACCTCTTTTGTACATTGTTACACAAACTAGATGGGTAAAATGTAGATCTTATTTGTCTCATTTAAATCTAAGTTCTTTTAAATTGTTTATGTTTTGTATTATTTGTATTTGATTTGGATTTATCTCGTTGGTCGAGTGGTCGCAATTGCGGCTGCCGGGCATGGGGTCTTAGGTTCGATTCCCGGGTCAGGAAAATTATTACTGGGTTGTAAAAAAAAACTCAGTAGTAGCATGGAGTCTAGAATTGTGCCCGGTATATGGTAATAGACTCACCCCCTATTACGTGAGACTCATAACATAGACAGTGAAAAGTAGGTGTTACATTCAACAGTGGCATTAAGTGCCGTAATGTGCACCTCTGTCTATCCCTTCGGGGATAAAAGGCGTGATGTTAATGTTATGTTATGTCATGATTTGGAATTAAATGGCAACGTTAAATAAGTCGATTTATAGTAAAGTCCGAACCTGTACTCTCGTAAAATGATAGCGCAATGAAGCAGTTTTCTATAAAATGCACATGTGGTGCCTTTGGTGTTGCAGGCATTCTTGAGCTATAGCAACCGCCTTCTATAAGGTGAACCGTTAGGTTTGTTACGAACAATAGCAGTCTAGAAAAAGTATTTTTTCACTATACCATACACGTTAGGCTATACACATGAGCTGAAATTATCACCTTTGAAATATGTATTATGTATTGTATTTTAATACAAAAAGCTTGTATATTACAATTAACGTTGTTGTATTAATTTTATTCGTTTCGTGACCGATGGGAAAATAATTAAATTTTACAGTGACAGATGTTATTTTCGTATTAACTTACTACAAATAACATTTGGATACGTTTAAATATTTTATTAATGAAAATATTAAAGATTACGAGATTAGTAAGTTATTAGTAGTCTTGCTAGTTCAGTGGTTACAAGCGTAGTTGCTATGACTTTTTTTTTAAGGGGGAAAATCATCGAATGATTGCTCCCGTCTGGGTGACGCGGGAGGGAGTGTCAGACTCTTCCTGACTAAAAACCACCCCGTTCCTTCTCCTGCACGTCGAGCCGGTTAGGATCTCCGCGACAATTGCTATGACTTGGGTTCAATACTCGGCAGGGTATTATTTTTTAGAATATTCGGTATATCTCAGTAATAGCACGAGGTCGTTACTCCGAATATTTTTATTTACACGTATTCATGTTGGTGTGTTGTGTTAGGCTGTGTTTAAAAATATACTTACGATATCTCTGTGATATTAATACAATATATTTAAGGTAAAACTATAAATCAACAAAAGTATTCAGGTCAGCGTAAACAGCAAGTTTTAGGATACGTATATACTTTGTACTATCTTTATGAATCGGTCTTGATCTTGACTAAGAATAGAAAATCGTTACGTTGCTTGCTTAACTTCACTATAAATTCGTGGTGAACATAGTAATGGTCACTTCTTGCTTGTTTATAAATCCAAAGTATTATTGGGACTACCTCGTTGGCCGAGTGGTTGCAAGTGTGACTGCCGGGCAAGGGGTCTCGGGTTCGATTCCCGGGTCGGGCAAAGTATTACTGGGTTTTTAAATATTCTCAGTAGTAGCACGGAGTCTGGAATTGTGCCCGGTATATGGCAATAGGCTCACCCCCTATTACATGGGACTCATAACATAAATAGTGAAAAGTGGGTGTTACATTGTACAGTGGTATAATGTGCACCTCTGCCTACCCCTTCGGGGATAAAAAGGCGTGATGTTATGTTATGTTATTATTGGGAAATGGAATATTATATATCTTTTGCCATGTGATATTCAAAACTTCTTTGTTTATATTAAAACTTTCGTGAATCATGAATATATGCCTTTAGCATGACTTGAAACTAGTCGGGTTCCTCGTCAAACAATTACGTGATTAAACCGAAAACCTAATAATCAAAACTCCTTGTTGCTATTACAAAAAAATGAAAACGCTTTACTGGGGATTGAACGACTCGTCGCTTTAGTTGCTTGAGTTTGTGATCCTTAAACTGTCAAACACCGCGAGGACACCGGTGACCGCAACCTATTGTTCTTTAATTGTGTCTATAATGACGGTACTCAAAGGGTTAATTGCACTGTGACTAAAGTGGTTGTATGATCCACAAATTCTTGACCCGGATGAGATGTGTATGTAAATGCAATGCGCACCCACAAGTCACTCAGAATAAAATCTTAGTATGGGCTCACAAATAAATAATTGATTATAAACTACGTTTAAAAATACCGACTTCAACCCCTTCTTTTAGTTGTCGGTTATTTTGTATTAGTTTCAGCCAATTGCGATATAATCTCGCACAAACATATATACATTACAAACATACATACATACAAGTCAAAGTGAGAACCTCTTTTTTTTCTAATTCGGTTAAAAATAGACAATGGGGATGATGACAGGGTATGAAAATTAAAAATATAATTAGTCCGTAAGTTAGGTAATGAAAAAATATTAGACACGTATTTTTTTATTTTGTCGTATAATAAAACAATACTTAGATCAAACGAATCAAAGTTTAGGAGTGGGGCTAAAACGTCATTTCTTAGTATAAAATGTACTGAGAAGTGACGTCACGCGACATTTCAAATCAATATATCTTCGAAACTATTCGTTTCTGTGAGAAAATAAAAAATACGTGTCTAATGTCTTTAAATAATCTACCAGACGGACATTAAAATAAAAATTAGTCGTCTACCCTATTGTATTCTAAGACATACTTGCAGTACTATCACAAAGAGTACATATCATAAGAATATTCCGTTCGAATCGAGTTTATATTAACTGGGAATCTTTCCAAAGAACAGTTCCGGTCCACTTGCATCAAATGGTTTCTCTGCCCCGTTTATAATTTATAAGCTATGCCCGAAGTGCTCGAGGTCAGCTGTCTGTTCGATACGGAATGTGGTTCAGAGGTGATTATGAAACTAAATCTTCATTTACAGCTTTATTATCTAAGTATTGAGTTTATTGAAAGTTGAGATGTTCGTGCTGAGCTGTGTTTTGTTGTAAGAGATTTATACAATACAGAAGAAAATACAATAAAGAATTTTGGTAGATGTAAAATCTAGGTAAAGGTATCAAATAAATTATTAAAAATTAAAACATGACTAGTTGTTTCGGTAGCCACGTACCTGAAGTTTTGACCGGGCAGTCAAATAAAAAGTAGCTCTTATAGTTAATTAAATTATAAAGTACCCTCTTAACTATCTCTAGATACAAAAAATATGTAAGAGGGATGTAATAGAAAGAGTACTCTACATTCAGCTTTGTGTATTCTTAAACAATGAACTTGTAATCGCGTTGTCTACTAAAACTGAAGAATAAGAATCAATACAGACTGCAACTGTTAACTTATTAAGTTCTTAAGAAGCTGCAGTCCGTACTATTCTTACTCCAAATAAGGAAACAATAACTTCATGAGTCCGCGTATATATATATACTTAAATGAATTGATTATGCGCGCAACCTCGCCTGTCTGACCCATTTACATTTTTAGTATAAAA